TCCTTCCTTCCTTCCTTCCTTCCTTCCTTCCTTCCTTCCTTCCTTCCTTCTGCACACTGCCAACAGTTGATCCTGACCAGCTCAAGGTTGACTCGTCCTTCCGTCCTTCCGTCCTTCCGAGGTGGGTAAAATGAGGACCCAGATGGTTGGGGGCAAGAGGCTGACTCTGTAAACCACTTAGAGAGGGCTGTAAAACACTGTGAATTCTGGGAGTTGAAGTCCGCCAGGCTTAAAGTTGCCAAGGTTGGAGACCCCTGTCTTAGAACGTTCCCTCAAGGCAAACCAATGCCTCGTGTTCAGATTCAGGGCTCATGAATAGCAATAAAGCCACCAATACATTCAAATGCTGGGGATTCTTTTCAAGGCTTGGATCGGGTTCAACATTAGTGAGGAAAGCCTCTGGAGCAGCCTCAACGCTTCGACTCAGCGGGTTGTGGCGAGCTTAGCTGAGCGAAGAGGGCCAGACGAAGCAACGGAGGCATCCAAGCCTATGCCAGGGGGGTTTATTAAGCCGTAAAATTAATTAAGAAGCTAAACGGGAGATGCCATTGGCTGAGCGGCAGAGAAAAGCAGGGGCAGCAACACGTGGCATCAAATCTCCAACATAAAAAAGGGCTGAAATTTCCCGGGAAAAAAAAAATTCAGCAGCACGTCTGTTGGCTGCAGAAGGACTCCAAAAGTTGCAATAAAAGCACAAAAGGAAAAAAAGAGTATACACTGCTGGCAAATGGGACCCTTCCTATTTAATATTATTCTACAACTTACGTGTTAGAATGACATGTTGACATGTTAGAACAATTAACCGGTGGAACAACTTGCCTCCAGAAGTTGTGAATGCTCCAACACTGGAAGTTTTTAAGAAGAGATTAAACAATCATTTGTCTGAAATGGTATAGGATTTCCTGCCTGAGCAGGGGGGTGGAGTAGAAGACCTCCAAGGTCCCTTCCAACTCTGTTATTCTTTTGTCTTGTCTTGTCTTATCTTGTCTTGCCTTCCATTTTATTTTCCAACATTCTATTCTATTCCTATTCTATTTTCTATTTCTATTCTAGCATTCTATTCTATTCTACTCTACTCTATTTCTATTTCTATTCTTCTATTCTAGTATTCTATTCTACTGTACTCTACTTTATTTTCTATTTCTATTATTCTCTTCTCTTCTCGAATTGTATTGTACAATACAATTTGAGAATACAAAAATAGAAAATAGAGTCTAATCTAATTCTATTCTATATTAATACAAGGATTACCTATGGTATCTAGGAGTCCACCACAGATTCCTTCTGTGTTAGTATGAGCCTCTTTCTGTAGAATAGGCTTTGCTGTAGAATTTCCAGCGGCTGCCCTGGCAATGTTTAAGATTCTCGTTGGGCTCCTATTCCTCTAACTGCCTTGTGATGGAATAAATTAAATACACAAAGCTCCTCTCCATCATTTTTCTTTCTGTTAAAAGAACACAGATCTCAGGAGGAGAAACAGCAATCTATTTGTTGTTTGACACTTAGCACCAAATGGAAAGCACTTTGTCTGCTCAGATGGTCTAAGGGGGATTTGAGAAGTTGGAAGTGAGTGAAGCAGGGTGGAGAATCCATCTTGTCTCAAACTCTTTGCGTAAGCAACTTCTCTTTAGAATAATCAGGTGTGTATTGTGACAGATCTCAGCATCTCATCCTGCTACGGCAGAATAACACAATAACTGAGTAACAGAGATGGGAGGGACCTTGGAGGTCGTCTAGTCCAACCCTCTGCTCAAGCACAAGACCCTATACAATTCTGGACAAATGGCTATCCAATCTCTTCTTAAAATCTTCCAGTGATGGAGCAGCCACATTTCTTGAGACAAGCTGTTCCACTGGTTAATTGTTCTCCCTGTCAGGAAATTCCTTATTTCCAGATTGAATCTCTCCTTGTTCAGTTTCCATCCATTATTCCTTGTCTGGCCTTCAGGTGATTTGGAAAATAGCTTGACCCCTTCTTCCTCTTTGTGGCAGCCCCTCAAATATTGGAAGACCGCTATCCTGTCTCCCCTGGTCCTTCTCTTCCCTAGACTAGCCAAGCCCGGTTCCTGCAACTGTTCATTGTATGTTTTAGCCTCCACTCCTTTAATCATCTTTCTTGCTTTTCTCTGCACTCTTTCCAAAGTCTCTACATCTTTTAAATAATATAGTGACCAAGCCTGGATGCAGTATTCCAAATGTAGTCTTACTAAGGCTTTATAAAGTGGTACGAATACTTCCCATTATTTTTATTCTCTCTCTCTGTTAATGAAATTTAGGATTGTATTGGTTGTTTGGGCTGCTGCTGCACACTGCTGCCTCATATTTATGGGATTGTCCACTAGGACTCCAAGATCCCTCTCAGAGTTACTGCTATTGAGCCAGTTTTCATTTAATCTGTGCTTCTACTTTCGTTCTTTTGTTTTTAATTTCTGCCCAAGTGTAAAACCTTTTCTCGACATTGAATTTACCACACCTGCTGGGGAAGAGAGAAATTCTACACTGAATTTCATTTTCTTAGATAGGGCCCAGTATCCAAGTCGGTTGAGAGCTTCTTCTGCTCTTAAAGGCAGTACGTTAATTTTCCCAGGAACAGAAGTGGGAAGCAGGGAAAGTGGCATCGTCGGCTAAGGGTTGATGCTCGTCTGGCATCCATAAGAAAAAGGCCAAATGGCAGACTCTTTCAGGGGTAGGATTCTACCGGTTCGAATCGGTTCTATAGAACCGGTTGTTACGATTCTGGGCAGTTCGGACAACTGGCAAATAGTGCCCCCTGGCTGCCCCTCCCCGCCCCTCCCTTCCCTGCCAGTCAGTCCTTATCCTGCATGCCTTTCATTGCTGACTGCATTCTACCCCGTCCAGTCATTCCTTAAGGCATTTCTTTTGTGCTGTCTTCCGACGATCAGCTGTTCCGATGATCAGCTGTGCCAGGATCCCTCTCACTGTCTTACTGCTTCGCCCAGGAGGTTTCCCTGAGGCCCAGGAGGCAAAAAGGGGCGTGGGGGGGGGGGGGGATGCTGCAAAAAAAGAAGAAGCCACACCCACCCAGTCACATGACCATGCCCACCTAGCCATGCCCACCTAGTCACGCCTACAGAACCGGTTGTTAAAAAAAATTTTAATCCCACACCTGGTCTCTTTCGTGTTTCACTAGAATGACCAAAATGGCATGGCAGCATCACAGTCATTTGGACATGTGTGGGCTTGCATCATTACTACCAGTTTCCCTACCGGTTCGGTGATCGCGCACTTTGCCCATGCCCGCACAGCTTTCCAAACACCAGCTACGGCTCGGCTGCGCCAATCATCTGATTGGATAAAGAAGAGAAAAAGTGCAGAGGCACTTTTCTCTTCTTTATCCGCTCAGCTGATCATCAGAGGTTGTTTTTTTTTTTTTTTTTACTACTGGTTAGGCTCAACCAGTAGCAATTTTTGCTACCAACTTGGAGAAACCAGTCCAAACCGGGTAGCATTTTATCACTGATGCTGTGTGAAACCAAGTCACGAAAACAACATTTCCCAGAAAATGTTGAGCCACAAGTAACTCTTGGGATCCGGTCTAGAGTGTTGCGTGAAGGCAGGTCTTCTGAATTAATTGAAGCACAAGGCTTCCTTTTTGTGGCTCATTAGGTTGTAAACTGAGGATTACCTGATCTATATTCTCCCAAACCAAAAAGCTGAATTGCCACAATCATCGCACAGGGATTTGAGAAGAAGGGGAATTCTAGGAAGGCTTAGGAGGAGGAGGAGGTGATGACTTGAGGATGTGATGTGCTCCAACAGCTTTTCTCTTCTTTATCCGCTCAGCTGATCGTCGGAGTATTTTTATTTTTTTTTAAACTATTGGTTTGGATGAACTGGGATGAACTGGTAGCATTTCACCATTGGCTTTCAAGTTCATGCTAACCATCATGGATGATCAGAAGTGGCATGGCAGCATCATGATCCTTTGGACACATGTCAGCTCGCATGTGGATGCTAACTGTCCCGGTCCAAACTCTGGCCTCCCCTCTGAAGGTGCCGCGATGGGCGGGTTCAGGAGAAAACCCAAATGGCGGCTGGTTTCTGTGGCCCTTACCGTTTCCTCCCATTTCTGGATGCCTTCAAGCAGAACCAGCAACAGTTGTTGCAGATCTATCAGGGGCTGCTTCCGCAGATTCCGGTCTAGGCTGACCCGACACAATAGGGCGAGGATGGCCAGGCGTTGGTGGTCTGGGTAGCAGCGCGGCTGGGTTGTTACACACAATGTCAGGAACTAGAGAGGAAAGGAGAAACCAAAATAGTTATCAGGAGGACGTGACGGTGTTTCCCTAAAGGCTGACTCAGCCGCAGCAGGAAAGGAAAGGTGGACTGCAGATAAAAGCAGGAGGCAGGGTCATTCCAAACACGACCCATTTGGTGTATCACAGAAGGGTCTTCCGGCAATTTCTGCCACGCTGGTAATTTCCATGCCAGCTGGATGTGTAAAGCCACTGACACCCCACCCCTCCATGAGCCAGCTAGGGCTGGGACAACCCGCCACGTAATGGCTGAAGTCAGACCCTGGGGAAACCTTGTATCCAATGACAAGGCAGTCTGATTACAATATACTGCTTAAGAGCCGGGGTGGCGCAATGGTTAGAACGCAGTACTGCAGGCTACTTTTGCCGGCTACCAGCTGCCAGCAGTTTGAATCTCACAGGCTCAAGGTTTGACTCATCCTTCCGTCCTTCTGAGGTGGGTAAAATGAGGACCCAGATTGTTGGGGGCAAGAGGCTGACTCTGTAAACTGCTTAAAGAGGGCTGTAAAAGTACGGTAGTATATAAGTCTGAGTGCTATTGATCTTCCTTTCCTTCCTTCCTCCCTCCCTTTCTTTTTTCTTTTTTCCTCCCTCCCTCCCTCCCTCCCTCCCTCCCTCCCTCCTTCCTTCCTTCCTTCCTTCCTTCCTTCCTTGCTTGCTTGCTTGCTTGCTTGCTTGCTTGCTGTTAGAATGCAGTATTGCAGGCTGACTCTGCCGACTGCCAGGAGTTCGACCCTGACTGGCTCAAGGACTAGAGGTTGACTCAGCCTTCCATCCTTCCGAGGTTGGTTAAAATGAGGAGCCAGATTGTTGGAGGCAAGAGGCTGACATTGTAAACGCTTAAAGGGGACTGTGTAAAGCACTGTGAAGCAGCAGATAAGTCTAAGTGCTAAGTGTTATTGCTATTAACCTGTGCTGAAACCTCAGGCAGATCTTTTGCCCCTAAGTTCTCTTTGGCTCGAGGTTCCTGAGCTCTGTTATCTCAATATCTGGTCACTTTGGGGGACCTTCTACTTTGTAGTGCAGTTTTCAGAACCCTCCAAAACATGCAAAAGTAAATAGATAGGCTTCCAAAACAGGAGAATAATATGTAGCCCAGGGTTGAAATGAGGCGCCCTTGGTACTCTCTGAACTTGGTTGGTTTTCTTGCAGACGTTTCATTACCCAAACTAGGTCACATCATCTGTGAAACCTTTGTAAGAAAACAACCAGAGAGCACCAAGGGGCCCCCTTTTTTACAAACATGCAGGAAGAAATTATGTTTAAGGATACACACCTAGACATGCACATCAGGTATTCAAAGTTATATTTAAATACATTTCAGTCTGGAATAAGCAGCCAAAAGACGCAGGCTGAAAAAAGAATACATCAAAATCCTCAAAATCCGAAAGTCCACTGTCTCTTTATTTGCAGGAATGATTCTGCCAACAGCATCAACTCGACTTTCTGGTGTCAAATGGAGGAGACAATAGCTGGTTCTTGTATACAGTGAACAAACTGTGGCTGCAAATTGTTGCAGTGGAGTTTAAGCTGCAGTCTATGATCTGGATGTGTCTCTTTAAGATAAATGCCGATGGAAAATGTCAAATAAGTGGAATAAAACTGACATGTTTGGTTTTCTCTCTGGGACAGAGGCTGATAAAATGAAGGCACGTAGAAGTGGCTTCGTGAGAAAGAATTGGACAAGAAGAAAGTGCCAATAAATATCCAAAGAATCACCTTCTAATGGATTGTCCAGGTCGTGGAAAAACAGCTTCCAAAACACTTTGAAGAGGTTCAACAAATTGGTTCAAGAAAGCAGTCGTGGATGGTTGGAGAATCCAAATTTGGGGTGAGGGGCTCGGTGGTCTCTGGGCTTGGCAATTTTTCTTCCAGGTCTAGAACAACTTGCCATGGCCAACTCATCATGGCCAACTCGCTGCAAGACAACTCACCACAGGACAAGTGTTACACAACAACTCTATTTGTTATTGACCAAAATCATTAAAGATAGGATGCAAAAGGAAGGACAAAATGAAATGTGAAGGAGAAAAATTGAAATGATGTTTGAATTATTTTAAATAATTAAGTTGAATTGTCGTATTGTCCTGCAGTGAGTTGGCCATGGCGAGTTGGCCATGACCAGTTGTCTCATTCCGCTTACTTGCAGACTTTTCATTACCCAACCAGGTAACACCATCAGCGCTAGAGCAAACCCCATTCCTTACTAACATGGGCTATGTTATCTAGTTTGGTAATAAAACGTCTTCCAAAAACCACCAGGCTCACAGGGTGTCAAGGACTCCACAGTTCAACTTTGAGCCACAAATAATATACCAGCTTCTTCTTTGCCATTCATTCTAGTCTGAACAGTATAGGAACTTTAGACCCAAAGGTGCTTTTTTTTTTCAAGAGGCAACTGGACTTTCTGGTTTTTCTTTGAAGATGTTTCACTTCTCATCCAAGGAGCTTCTTTAGTTCTGGCTGGATGGTGGGGAAGGAAAGGATTTGTATTCCTTGCAGAGAGCTGGTCATTTGCGTCCTTTTAGAGGGTCGTTGAGGCCACTTGGAGGTTTGTCTGTGTCTTCAGGGTCACCTGAGTGGTGCAAATGAGTGTGGAGCCTTCTTGGAATTGTTGAAAGGATTGTGTTGTGTGTCAGGATTCCCGCAGTTACTCCAATTAAATCATGAGCCTCGAGCCACACTCCCAAAACTTCAAAGGATTTATTAGAAGTTAACATGCCAGCATTAGCCTAGCTGTAGCCAACTCTGAGATATGTAATTCACTGTCACCCTTGATCCTGCTTTCCCCACCACCCCTCTGGGTGTATCATCCAACAAAACACATCCATAGCCAAGAGTCATCAATCATGCTCTCCAATTAGATTTTTTTCCCCGGCAGAAACTTCAGTCATCTAATCAGTCTTTGAAGAAAATATGAATGGAAGGTACTTTCAATTCCACACTGCTGCCTCCTCTTTGAAACTCCCCCCTTCTTTCTATTGACAATTATAAAACGTGTGTACAAAATGTTTTATGAGTTGACGTGGATTGGAGATAGGTGATGTCGTACCCCTCTGCGTCTGTTATCCAATCTACAACCCCTGTCCTTTCAACGGTTCCAACTACTCAGGTGACCCTGAAGACACAGATAAACCTCCAAGTGGCCTCAACGACCCTCTAAAAGGATGCAAATGACCAGCTCTGTCTGCAAGGAGTATCAATCCTTCCATTTGCCACCATCCAGTCAGAGCTGAAGAAGCTTCTTGGATGAGAAGTGAAACGTCTTCAAAAGAAAAAACAAGAAATGTCCAGTTGCCTCCTGAAAAAAAAAAAAAAAGCACCTTTGAGACAACCATGACCTGGATGACCGAGAATCTCCATAGAAATTTAGGAACTTTAGAGTTTTGGTCTGCCCTGACTTTTGGGGGGGATAGTGAACAACAAACAAGGGATGGGTGGGTTCAACAACTAATTCTGAGACCAGATGATCCCACAGTGGGTAAAGACATCACTTCCTTTCTTTAGACATTTGGGGATGCTACATACTGTCTGTCATTACTCACCGAGACTGTTTCTTTTGCGAGAGCCAAGAGAGAGATATTGACAGGCGAGCTGAATTCAAGCCCAGCGGGGACCTTTCACACATAAGCAATTGTCTTATCATGTCCCACGGACAGAAACCTTTCTTTCCATGTGTGGGAAGCCAGGCGCCCTGCAGACACGGCATCTTTCCAAATATGGTTTTAACGTGCGATGGTGTTGTGTTTTTCGTCCTTCCAAGAACACGTGGGGAGGTAGAGTGTAGCTCTCTCAGTTGAGGTGTTGCACCATGAGCCAATTGGGAAGATTGCTTGAGCGAAAGGGGGCGGGGGAGGGAAACACAGTTTGCGGCTCTGCAAGAATGAGAGGAGCGGTGCCACGGATAGATGTGAGATTGTGATGCGCAGGACGTCAGGAGTCAATGGTGCTTCAAATGAATACAGGCTATTTTTGCATGCTAACACCATACAAGGATCTGACCCAGGGGTGGGATTCAGCCGGTATGGACTGGTTCGCCCAAACCGGTAGTTCCGGCAGTGAGTTGGCCCCGCCCATCCGCCCGTGAGCTAGTCTGTCCTAGATTTCCTTTGTTTGAAGCCCAGCTGGTCGGCGTGGTGGCGTGGATTGCCGCATGGCAGCTGTTTTAACTCACCAGGGCTGCTGTAAAAGGTAAGTTTTCTTGCTATTTTTCAAATGCACCGTTCAGGTTCGCCAAACCGGTTGTTAATCCCACCGCTGATCTGAACTACTAACGGTCAAAGCTAATTGGCAACAGATAAGAGCCAATGGAATTCAAGGTGGGTGGGGCTTAGATCTCTTGTGGGTGTGAAGAGTCTTGAGACTGATGACGTGCTTGACGCTTCCCTCTGGCTCAGCCTGGTCATCTCTTACAGAGGTTTCTTTTTTTGGTGTGTGTGTGTTTGATTGATTACGTGCCATCAAGTTGTTTTTGACTTCCAGTGACCACAAAGATACTCAGGGAGACTTAGCCTGGGCAATTGAATGGAGCTGAGTGTTTACTGGCCCGATGCCCTTCCTGTCGCCAATGCGGAGTTTTTGTTCAGCAGATACATTCTCATTAAGCCCAGAGAGAGGAAATTAGCCTCCACTGAGGCGAGAGTTCCACCTCTAGGCAGCTGCACCACTCTATAAAGATCTATCCATCTAATCGATAAAACCCAAAATCAAACTTTCATTCTTTTCCATTTCAAGCCCAAAATTCAGAAACGGTCGTCATGAGGAAACAAAAGCCACTGTTTACCCACTGTAGGATGAAGGCCTCTTCCCGCATGTTTCCAACCCTGAGCTTTCTTTTGCCAGTTGATCCCACCATGCTTGCTGATGTCGTCAATCCACCTTGTTTTAGGGATCTTTCCTGGTCACTTTTGATCAAGTGGGATCTATTCTTTTTAAACAGATGAACAGAGTTGGAAGGGACCTTATCGGTCATCTA